ACTGTGGTTTATAATTTGGGCACCCGGGCGATTCTATCGTCGGCAAGTCAGGCGACGCCGCACACGCCGCGCCGCGTCGCTGCGCGGCACGCCGTGACGCGGCAATCCCGGAGTTGCATTACCGTACTCCCGAGTTTTGTTGCGTGGCGTTCAAATTGTTAAAGGGTCGACGATCCCTTTAACAATTTGAAAGAGGCACAGCTTGCTGTGGCCGTTGCTCCAATGACAACTCGGGAGTACGGTAATGCAACTCCGGGATTGCCGCGTCGCGGCGTGCCGCGCAGCGACGCGGCGCGGCGTGTGCGGCGTCGCCTGACTTGCCGACGATAGAATCGCCCGGGTGCCCACGACAACGATAAAACTCACCTCCATGAGGATTATGATAGGAAGAATTTTTTTTCTGAGAAAGAAGAAGTGCAGAGGGAGGAAAGACACTTTGGTCGGGTAACATATCATTACAAGTTTACGCAGCCCAGAAAGAAGACGTGGATACGAGTACCAGGGCGGAAGATACCCAAGATGTTCCTCGATAAGCAGGAGCAGGCTCTCGTCCATCACCTTCATGTACACCAAAATATGAAGCCATCTCCAATCGCAGCCGGACTGGAGAAGGCCTATGGAATTCACGTCACCTCCAAACAGCTGCGAAACTTCTTGAATCGGAGTCACCCATGGACAGCTACCTGGAGATCGTCACTCTTGAACAGGTGTTCTCCGACACCGTAGAGCTCTGACAACGTCGCTGTGGTCTAGGATGTCATCTTCATCGCAGTTGCCAAAGTTCGTCCAGAAGGCTGTTACGGAGTTTCGTGATAGTGTACAATGTGTTGTTGAATATGATGGTGAAAATGTCCAATCAGAATTCATTCAAGTGTAGCTTATGTCGTCTAGTGAGTCGAGGAAAATGACTTTTTTGCCCCCCCCCCTGTATTACGGGCAGGCACGTCCTACGTCCTACAGGGAGTGGGGACGTATTTAGTCGCTTAGTCGCTTGAAGGAAGGGGATCGCATCCGGTCTGAGAGGATCTTCCCGTGGCGTTTCTGGCTGCGCTTTAGAATTACTATACGACTCGTACTTTCGATGCTGGAAGGTGACGACCTCTCCCCCACCCTCCTGACGGCAAATTTTTGAGAACACACTGGGAAGTTCTCGATAAATTCTGGTGAAAAAGGTAGGAAGCTTGGGAAAGTTGGCAAGACAGTGGCTAGGAAGGGGAAGGCGGACTTGTAGCAGAGGACGAGATTAAGAAGGTTCTATTTTTCGAACGTTCTGATTATGGGAACCCCAGCTGAAACAGATCAGCAACTCGCAAAGCATCTTATGACAAAGATCGCATTGTAGACGACCTTTATACTATTAGGACACATGTGCACACATGACTCACAGGTCGTTAACGCAGATGAAAGATCAGAGTCACGCGGTATTTTGATGTGTAAATATTGCCCAGGCGGAAGCCCACCCTGCCCAGTGTAACACTGGGACCACAGAGCGATGGTACTGCAAGAATATCAAGATGACAGCTATGAACGACTCTACTCCAAACGAGGTGACCGCATCTTAGATGTGTAATGGGCAACCCGCTAGCCGAGTCATTAAAGGGCAGTTTGCACTGATAAAATTCGCTATAGCTGCTGGTAGGATTTGTACGCTGCTCAACAGAATTCCGTGACCTCGGACAGGCGCTGCGTGAAACCTTTTCCAAGGAGGGTACCTCTATAACGCCCTATTGAGCAACAACTTTACGTCCCAAACGCCTTCCTTGCCCGCCCGCCCACAAACGGACGACCGTTTCTGACGCTTGTATTCATTCATTTGCTGAGCAAATTATGAATAAGAGGGATTGGTATGGAACGGCCGTATGCTGCATGGATATATGGGTTCATATATGCAGCCGTACCTTCGGTAGCGGTGATTGGCAAGATGCCTACGGGAAACTCGTCCGAAATCGATTTACAAGTCGCTGAGAACGGAGGCTTTTCTTCGCCGGATTTTGTCCGCATATACATGCGCCCTACTCGCATTTTGCCAGGTAGGAAAGCCAGTCGCGTCAACTGGCCTTTATGAAAGTGTGCAAAACCGCCTGTTGTGCTGGGCGAAGCACCGGTCATACCGCACCACTTTTGTATACATTGCAAAGCTGTTAAACATAAGAACGAACTAGTTGCAGGTATTGCTGAAGAATGTTTTGTGCAGTTGCAACTTTATCCTGCATAGGTCATCCGCAATTGTCCGTAATATGGGCCGCAACATACATTTGGCGGCAAGTCCTCAGCCGACCAAGCTAGGTATTGTGTAGTATCGGTGCGGTTGCACACGCCGCAATTTCACGACGCCTAATGAAGCTGTCATGGCCCATACAATGACATATGTGGGTCACGTTGTACAAGTCAGCGTTTCTTGATCCCATACAGGTCTGGTAGCAGCACGCCGACCCTCGAGATAAAAGTCAAGACTCGACCGTGGGCGGATCCGGAATCCCGGGTTTTTTGACCAACGTCGGACCGTACGTGTAGTAGGCTACGGCCACTTGCCAATGCACTTTCCCTTCCTCTACGAATAAGTTATGTGAAAGAGATGAAAACATTAAAAAAGGCTGCTAAGGAATCCCTAGTGGGAAAGGCATTAGGGAAATAACAATAGGGAAAGTTAAAAAAGCGATTGCAAAATAGCCAATAAATGAATCAAAACACTGATTATTATTGAGTCCTTTTAAATTAAGGGAAACCATTTCAATTTTTCACAAGACAAACAGGCATACAAGCAGTTAAAAAGCCTTCCTTCCAGGTCGTTAGGGCTCTACTGCAGTTGTGGCATCACAAATATTCTGCAGAGCCTTGAATAAAACTCGATTCCGCCAAAGATTCACGGCTCATTACTCGTGGGTGTTGTGCTCCTTCGCCCTTCACTCAACTTAAAGTCCCCACTGAAGCGATCACGGACAGCAGACTCCGAAATCCTTTTTTCACCTCATGCTCGATTAATCCTTCTGGTCGTTTCAGTTTCGTTCGTATTCCGTAGATATTCGTGAAGTATCAAGAAACGTATATCTTCCAGCCTCAGCTGCCATTGAGAACCGAAGGTTCCTTGACCCCATGCTTGATTGATATTCGCGATTGCTGTGTCACATTTCTCGTGCAATCTGTACTCGTGAAGCATCAAAAAATGTTTCTGCTCCTCGGTCGGCTTGAACGGCGCAACGCGTGAAGCTGCATTCTGAAAAGTGCGATAAAGCTGCATTTATTCTATGCGGCATTGTCCACCACGACCATCAGCGTTTCGAGCGTCCGTCGACTAGAAAAGTATAGATGTCGACCTAGCGAGCGCCAGTGTCTACGAATGTGTAGCAGCGACCATCAGGTCTCGACGGTCTATGAAAGTATGAATATCGATCAAATGTCTGCCAGCGTCCACCAGCTTCCAGAGGTACGGCATTGTGCAGTGACACAACACCGTTGCACACGCCACAATTTCACGACGCCTAATTTAGCTGTCTCCTCCCTCCTACTTCCCCATGCTTTCCAGGTGTCCGCTACTTCCCCCCCCCTTCCCCCCCTACTTCCCCGTACTCTCTGTTCCTGGTCGCTGGTGGACACTGGTAGACGCTGTTGCAAAGTGCGATTGCGACCTAACTCTGTCCTGGTTCCATTTCGAAATAAATTAATGTTTTTCGCTGAAGTTATTCTTGAAAGAGAAATAACTGAATTTGAGTTGACGCTGGTATCAAGGATAGATTTACTCACATTTACGTTTTCTCCATTAATATTCATTTTGCCGCCTTGTTTAGCGAGTTCCCTGAAACAACAAAATAAGCAGAAATTTCTCCGTGGGACACAGAAAGCAGAAAGCTGCAAAACTACTCAGGAAAACTTTGATCGTTTAATCCAGACGCTATTTTCGGTTCTTTCTCTGAGATGGGATTTCATGGTGATGGGAAAAGTAAATGTAAAAAAAGTGAGCGGGATTGGAAATACAATTGGTTCGACCGGCGACAATCTGTGCCCCTTGCTTAGATATTCCTACGGAAAGAATGCTACAACTCACACCAGCGCGCCTCCTTCTGTGATGCGGCCTGGCTTCGCCACGCGAAGCTTCCTTCACATGTTCAAATACTTAACTATAACCCGGCTTTTGTCTCATTTGTACACATTGCCGTGGTCCTCAACCAATAACATCGTACGTGCTATTTTCAGCACTATTACCATGTGGCATGGTGGTAAGGAGCAGAGACGAGAGAAAAGCCAGGTATTGACTGGGCAGTATACATAATAGATATATGTCTCTTTTCTTCTTGATCTCCAAATACCCTCACGGGAATTTTCATAGCAAGCACTGCCCATCTCGAGGGCGCCCGGCCCTTTTTGGGGATAGACTTCATCCGCTAACGCCTTGTAAGGCCCAATCCATGCCTTTGTTGCTCTTGCGCACCTTTAGTCTACTTTTGCTTCTGTCTGTGGAGCGCTCTGGAACCAGTTTACAGACTTTAAAGTTTTGTTGAGCCGTAAGAGTTAGTAGTAAGAGAGTCTGGATTTACAATTCGCACTTCTCACCGCACGCTCCGCCCACGACGGATTTGTCTCGCCCCTCGAAACCGGTGACCCCTCCTGACCATAATCCACTTTGCAGTATCTGTATCGCTCTGGAAGTGAAGTACGACTTCTCAAAATCAATAACTTGTGCTAGAGGGTATGCCCCACCGACTGTGTGCGGACAGGGTGCTGCATCGTTGTGCGAAACTCATAGAGGGGGTCGTACTTGGCCGCTGGAGAAGAGAGGTGGTCGTAAACACGAGGTCGGCGAGCACCAAACAGCACAAAAAGTCATCGCTAAGTTTGATGGAGCGGACGGAAGCAGCAGAGTACCCGAATGTAAGGAAGACCACAAAATATTATATCAATTGGCTAGCAATAGTTAGCATGGGCTCGTAATTATGTGGATGACTTAATAATACGTCTCAAACAGATTCGTGCGTATCGATTTTTCCAAACCCTGAACAAACATCTGCTTGCATGGACAAAAATCACCTAAAATCAGAAGTTACACCTTTCCACCACCTCTGCGTAGAAGCGTAATGCACGGCGCACGCGACCAAATCGATCAATGATAACCAAATTATGCTTTGACTCAGTTCAACGGAAATAATATTTGTTTGAGGGCATATTGGAGTTCGCGAATGAGTATCCTCACAACGGCACAGAAAGAGTCAACCTTTTGACCGGTGGTGAGTGGTTCAGAATGTCGCGCGTTCGTAACCAGTCTAGAATATATTCTGAACTAGCGGGTCTTCGGGAAAACTGTAAAGCTTGTTGGGAAGAGAGGACACTGAGCGTTCCAACGAAGCTGCTTTTAGTTTTGCAAAAAATTGCGTTTGAAGGAAGATATTCGAATGAAGCATAAAAACCTGCCCGCGATTTACCCCTAACCCATCCGTAACCCATCCGAAATATTTCATGAACGAGGGAAGATACAGATTGCGGGTAAGTAGAAAGTGGAACAGTACAGACATGAGGCTGATGCGGTTGCCTTCCACGTCCTACGAGCCCTTCTTCTGAAAGGTGATTAAGCTCGGAAAACGCACCGCGATTCCCCCTCGTCAACAGTCAACGCTCCAGCGCCATTTTGCGCTCGGATCGCAGCTCGGGCCACGTTCAGGGGCTGCTCTCCTTCCTTAGAGATTTATGCGCAGAGTATAATCGATGTCCCAACTTTTCACTATAAAACAGGTATTCTGGAACCAACTCACTCAATATTGCTATATAATTACTGTTATTTTGTGTTAATTAAGTGTTTATATCGGGAGCCGGCGAAGCCGGCCGATCCTTCTTCCGCTAAATGCCCTCACCCTAAGGCTAACAATGCCAGGGAGAGGTGCTGAGAAAGCTAGAAACGTTCATCCTCAATAGCAGGTTTTGACTTTGCAGACCACTGCTTCCTGCGGTATTTTTAGGTGTATCGGTTTTTTTTTATTTTTCTAAAACATATACTAGTTTGCACACATTCTTTCAGGAGAAGGGTACAGCAAAAATAATAATACAAATCAAAATATTAAGCACTCAGCAGAGCTCATTCTCATGTTTTACGTTTACTCGCCGTGTCGTACTACTGTCGGACACGCCCATAAGAGTTTACATACACGTTTACATTCTCACAGGAATGTCTAGTTATAGGCAAAAGTCCTTACTGTGGACGGACGGACTCGAATTAGCGCCTCACGCTTATCGATGCTGCGCATGCTCCTTTTCCAGAATTTTTCGCTGAACCGCCACAGGGAACTTGGACAGTACTTGCTTAATAAGCCATTGGCTGTTAACGTGTTCTCCCTTTTCTTTTAGCTTGAGGCAACTATAGCTTGGAGCTCCTCGAAAAATACGCGCTTGAACCTTCAGTGAAGGGGACCGTAGCTGCATCTTATCTATTTTGGTTATAAGATGATTCACCAATTCCTCCGAATTCCCATATTTAGGAGTTAGGAACAGCCTTAGGATAGTTTTCAGGCGATACTTGGAATTTCTTGATGGCCGCGAGTGCTCCACCCTTGAGCGCACTCAGTAGGTAGTTAAATTTGTAGAGCTCGGGAAGAGGTTGAGAATGGATGTTAGCATTGAATAAACACCAAAAATTATCCCATTCCCAGATGTTTCTCGAAAGGTGGGAACAGGCAAGGTTGGAAGTTCTATCCTCTTAGCCCGAAATGGAACACTCGACTCACTTTCTTGCGGGAAAGCTCCTAGATTGCGAGCTAGACTAGGACTTTGACAGGATAGGAAGGCGCGTGACCTTGCCTCCAGGAGTACTAGGTATTCATGAGCCATAGACTATCCCTCTTCCGCCTTTGTTGCCTACTCGTTATATTCCTTATATTCCTTTTCAGAGGGTTCCTTAAGCCCGTCAAGCAGCGTTGCATAATCACCAAGTATTTCCTCAATGCGTGATATGCATGTTTTGATAGCCCCTATTGCTTCTTCCAAGCGTCTGCGGGCGTCATGAAACTCGACAGGGGATTGGTCATCCGTAACGCAAAGTGACTCGATTTGTTCCCCTTTGAAACGCTGCAAAACCGTACCCAACTTGTTGGTGAATTGCGTTAGCAAGCGTTTATAAGACGATATCCTGGCTGACATAATGGGGATGCGGAATTCCTAAGACTTGTGAAACTCGCACCCAACGCACCAAATATACCAGTAATCAAGGAAAAAAAAGAAATATATGCCACGCGATTCAGTGAACTGAAAGCCAAAAGATAAGAGGAAAACTCGAATCTTGAACTCACTCGAGCAGCCTGGGATCTTGTTGGCTCCGATGCACCATAACCTCATCACACTGTAGCGCTTCAAACAACTGTTATCCCTTCAATGCTCCTCAGCTTATATATGAGTTATGTTAGAAATTAATAACATTCTACAGCAGTTATCTATCTTTCAATCTACAGTATGACAAGCCACATAATAATAATGTTCCTTCACACGTCGACACCAGTCGGATCGCCCGCCTTCTGCGGGCGATCCTCCTTCCGCGTGTGAAGTGGGTCCCTGGCATTCCTACTGAGGCCCAGTCGGATCGCCCTCCTTCGGCAGCCTTCTTTTTCTGTTTTTTCTGCAATTCCAGAACATTACCGTTTCACATTTGGTATATACCCCCCTAGTGGACGGTTGTAAAATTTTCGTAAAGTCAAGGAGTGGGAAGTGGGAACTGGATGCTCAGTGGAAAACTGAAGTGGTAGTATGGGTGTATTTGGATTGTTGTAGAATAAATAACAGGTAAATAAGTAAATAAACAAATAAATAAATACAAATAAGTTATTTCGATTTCGACCTCATGTTCACTACTATTCTCATTTGTCTTGAGACAAAAATATAACTTTTGCCCCTTACTTTTGCTGAGGTGTCTCTCCCTTACTTCATCTGGCTTCCCGCTGTCGCCCTTCAAGCATATTACCATCCTTCGGGTTGCTCAGGATACGTTTTAAAAATTTTTATCCATGGCACCGTTCACTTCCGCCGATGCCCCGCCCATTGTGGGCGGAGCCTAGGTTACCTTGTAGGTGTTCTGTAAATGTTGTCCCATGCCACAACCATCCCAAGCTTGATCCGTTCGCCAAAAGTGATTTTCCACACAGTCCCCAATTTTCGGGTGAACACGCAAGCATACAAACACACAACTTCTGCTTTATATATAGAGAGGATTGTCGACATCGAGCGAGTGCGCTTCAGGGTCAAGCATACATCGCGGAATCCGCGACAGGAGTCGTGTTAGGCTTACCTCAAGAGGGGAGGGCCCTGTTTGCAAGGTTAGTACTCAAAACAGCAACAGCGTAGATTGAGAAATGGGGGATGCATTAGGAAATGAAGTCTAGTATATGGCGCATCCCATAGAGATGTTGATAGAGCGCCTCCATGCTGCCGTTCCTTTTCACTACAAGAGGAGGGAACAGAAGGCCTGCCAAGCTTTCGAGATATAAATGTGGGCTTTGCCGCGAGGAGCCTTCATGCTGCAGCTTCAGCTGACTTTCAAATGGAAATCCGCGACGGGCGAAGTTTGCTGTAACTAAGCTATAGCAAAGTGTTGCACTCATCAGAAATACCTTTCCTTATAGCGATACCTTTTACTTTCTAATGCCGTGCAGAACTACGTTCTACGGTGTGTCTTAACGAAGTTATGGCTTTTGAAAGTGAAAAACTCGCGCTTCGCCCATAAATTCTCCGCGTTATTTTTGTGATTTTCCGCGACGGGCGGATTTTCGCTGCAGTCAAGCTAGAGGAAAGCTTTTGAACCCTTTCAAGAGAAAAAACCTAGTTATCAAATCATGAAGATCTCCGTTCTAGGTTATATCTGATTAAAGCTATTTCCAAGGTGAAGAACTCGCGTTCGCCCGGAATTCTTCGTATTATTTTGTAGCTAGAATCCATCATCTCAAGCTGAATGGGAACAGTGGTGCATTTTGTATAGAGAGTAACCATTCAAAGTGAATCATCGTTGTCGCTCTGTGAGAGATGATTTCTGAATGAAGTTATACCCTCTTAAAATACACTGGTGTGCAAAACTTAGGGACGAGATGGATAAAGTAACATAAAACACTAATGACTGGGTGGAAGTAAATGAAAGTGTGGGAGCATGTTGCCACTCGCCTAAGGGATATGCACAGGAAGCTAGACTTTTCTCGGTGGAAGAAGAGCTTGAATAAAGTGCCAAATATGGCCGACCGCGCAAATCGAGGCAGTCTATGGGTATGAAAAAATTTTTTTCTCAATCAACGAGTAGCTGCAAAGAACTGTGGTAGTATCCTTCGATACATCATGTCCCGAAGAGAGCATCTGGATGACTTCACTCGAGGAAGGATCATAGGGAAACTCGAAGAAGGTCGAACCATGACGAGTGTAGCCCAGGAGTTCGGTATCGCTCACAGCGTTGTTTCACGTGCATGGAGAGCGTTCCGAACCTTTGGTACTGCTGCCCGAAGACGAGGAGGTGGCCGACCAAGGACAACTACACCAAGGGACGACCGCTACATTGTGCAGCAGGCAAGAAGAGATCCTCGTCAGTCGGCTTCGGCTATTGCAACGACGTTTAACAGGACTCTAGGGCAAGCCATCTCACGCACTACAGTGGCAAGACGACTGCATGGTGGTGGTCTCTTCGCCCGACGACCGTTACGTTGTGTTCCTTTGACCCCCGCGCATCGGCGAGACCGTTTACGGTGGTGCCAGGAGCATGGCGAATGGACCGATGAGGAATGGAGCCGTGTGCTCTTTTCGGATGAGAGCAGGTTCAGTCTGAGCAGTGATTCTGGACGCACCCTCATATGGCGAGAGGTGGGAACACGCAACTCCCCGGAAACATTGTCGAACGTGATCGTACTGGTGGTCGAGGTGTTATGGTATGGGGAGGCATCATGTTGCATGGCCGTACTGACCTCCAGATTTTTGAGCATGGAACCCTCACCAGTCAGCGTTACTGCGACGAGGTTCTCCTACATCATGTCCGTCTTTTCAGAGCTGCAATCGGCCCTGACTTCATTTTCATGGATGACAATGCGCGACCGCATCGAACAGCACAGGTGGAGGAGCTTCTAGAACGAGAGGATATCCGGCGAATGGAGTGGCCCGCCCGTTCCCCCGACCTAAATCCCATCGAGCACGTGTGGGATGCACTGGGTAGACGCATTGCAGCACGACCAAATGCACCAATGACGATCCAGCAATTGTCAAATGCACTGATTGAGGAGTGGAATGCCCTGCCCCAGGAACTCATTACCAACCTCGTGGAGAGTATGGGATCGCGGTGCAGAGCATGTATTGCTGTCCGTGGTGATCACACACCCTATTAGGATCCGTGTAACTTCTTTTGTAGTACCAGGATAAATCGTGAAGACTTATGTGTAATCGACATGGTTGAATAAAAATGTCATAACAATTCGTCTTATTCCGAGTTTCTGTCAGTTGCTTTCTGTACAATATCGTTAAGGTTCTCTCTTGATATGATATGAATTTCATCGAGCTATGTTGTCTGGCAGAGGCACAGTGATCGAAAGTTGCTTTCGTCCCTAAGTTTTGCACACCAGTGTATGTTTGGTTTCGGTGCGAGATTTCGGAACGTACATATGAATCAAGGACTGATGCGTGGTGACAAATCGAGAGTAGGCCTCG